ACACGGGAGGTCTGTTAGGCGGGGGGCCACTGTACTTTTTCCAATTCACTTGATGCCAATAAAAATCAATTCGTCCGCCAATTCCCATGGATATTTCGCATAATGTACATTAAATTCCAGATAAAAAATCACTTAATGCGATTTTACAAATGAGCTGCCCAAGTTCAAACCGTTTTTTTTTCAGATATTCTCGCTATTTCAATTCAAATCCAAATGACTTGCCGTCTTTATAAGCAAAAGTGCATTCCTTCAATTGTAGGATGTGAAAGTGCCAAGAAAAAAAGTCCCGAAATTTACTGAAAAGTGGGTGTTGGACAATTATACAAAAGGATTCTCACTGGATTTCAACGCTTCCACAATGTTTTTGTCGGGCACGTCCTGCAGCCACTTGGGTTGACGAACGATTCGATTTTTTGGCCAGGAATATTTCGAAGAAGCATTTTTGCTGGGGTCTGACGCTTCGCTCGGATCACCGGAGGTGCGAGACGAATCTACTGAAACTGAAAGAAGCGTCATCTAGTAAATCTCATGTATTCATACGCAATGAGATAACGAAGCGCGTCAAGTAGATGTCACTCAAAATGTGGAACATACTGGAACGATGGTCGAGCGTGGCAGCAGACCACAGAAACTCAGCAGAATTTCGTGAGGAGTTCGAGGCGCTGTGGTACGGAACGTGAGGAGGCAACCCAGGATTGCCATTTGACGAGGCATCGTTATGGCCTTGCTTCGGCCGGTCCTCCAATGTATCAGGAACTCGGATAACTGGGCCGTGGTCAGGTCCTTTGTGATTCGAAAAAAAACATAGAAAAGAGACAATCGCGTATCATCACAATATATGTGTCACATGTTACGTTCATCATCCGGTTTGCTTCGAAAACGAGATCTTTGACATCTTCAGGTCCCTTCGGAATCTCTGGATACGATCAAAAAGCTGAGAATTTTCGGGCACATCTACTGCCTCGTTTGTGGCGTTTACTGTTGGCTGGATTATGGAGCTCAATTTTATACTGTACAGTAATTGGATTATGCCGATGGAACTTCGGCAGTGAACCTGAGATTCCATGTTGTCTCCGTTTTCAGGAAAATGGCGCATTTTTATACGATACTTCAGAAAAAAATTAATGTAAAATAGCGGAAATAAAACTCTTCAATTAACCCCAGCAGCATATAAAACAGGCAAGGTTAATGCAGGAATATTTTCTTTCCTTTGGACGTGGAGAACAAATGCGAGGGAAAATTTCACACCGATTTCAAGTATATAATATAGATGTCTCTTATTCGTGGATGTCATCACTAACTTCTTTTTTTTTTTTTTTTATCTACGAAACCTTTCAAATGTCCTCGCTATTTTATTGATCAACAAGGTGGCACCAGTGGTCAGGAAAATACGATGATTAGGATTCTAGTGCGAAAAAGAATTTCAAAACACAAAAAGTTGCGTTCGCTCTGAAATTGTGAAAATTTGACACAAATCGATTTAATCCGAGACTTCTCCGTTTTTTTGGCGTTGTCTCCAACTTTTAGTTATCAAGGAAACCTTTTTTCATCCACCAAAAAATCACGATATGTTCAGCTGTCTGATACTGCATTCGGATGCATTTATACTCAAGAGATCATAAACGGGGTCTTTTTGTTGTTGTTGCTGGCACAGGAGTGTTATTCTTGCTATTCCATGAAGCAGACAAATAATAGCACATGAGTCGGAGAGATGCGATGATCGGAATTCTACTGCAGGAAAAATTTTTAAAAATTCAAAATACTGTAGTTGTGATAGTCCTAACATTGGAAAAATTTGGCACGAACCAAATTCATCCCAGACGTCTCAAATTTTTCGGTTTTGTTTCCATTTTTTTTTAATCTAGGAAACTTTTTTTATTCACTAATAAAAAATCACGATACAGACTGGTACTGTGTACTCAGATGCATTTTTATTCGGAAATTAAATATTGAGAGTTTATATTTGGCACACGGATGTCTTCAACAGTAGTTATTATACTAATCAGCGGAATAAAGGCAACCGCGGTAAAAAATATACGATTATTGGACTTCTACTGCGAGCATTAATTTAGTAATATTAAAGTACAGTAATTGTGTTCAAATTTCGGTTTATGGAAATTTAGCACGAACCAAATTCATCCCGGAAGTCGTCAATTTTTCGCGTTTGTTTCCAATTTTTTAAAAATCTAGGACACCTTTTATTTATTTATTAATAACAAATCTCAATATATGGACTGGTACTGCATATTAAGAATTGAATTTTTGATCGAAAATTAAATATTGGGAGTTTATTTGGCACACGGATGTCTTCAATAGTTCTTACTATCATCAGTGGAATAATGGCACCCGCGGTCAGAAAGATACGATTATCGGACTACTACTACTGCGAGCAATAATTTGGAAATTTCACAGTACAATCGCGTTCAAAGTTCGCTTTACGGAAATTTGGCACGAACCAAATTCATCCCAGACGCTTTCAATTTTTCGGTTTTGTTTCCAATTAACATTTTTAATGTAGGAAACTTTTTATTTATTTATCCAAACACGATATACGGGCTGGTACTGTACATTGAGAATTGCAGCTTTGATCGGAAATTAAATATTGGGAGTTTATTTGGCACACAGATGTCTTCAATAGTTAATACTGCTATCATCAGCGGAATAATGGCACCCGCGGTCCGAAAGATACGATTATCGGACTACTACTACTGCGCGCAACAATTTGGAATTTTCAAAGTATAAAATATCGCGTTCAAAGTTCGCTTTACGGAATAATTTGGCACGAACCAAATTCATCCCAGGCGTTGCAGATTTTGCGGTGCAGCCTCTGGATCCACTTCTCCTTGGCTATGATCACTTCGTCTCTCGCACCTTTGCCCATTCTTCGCGCGCACGAGGCAACCAAGTGCCCCCACATATTGCACGGGCACAAGCACATCGTCTCAATTTATACCCTAGGATCCGTGTCCCTCTCTTCCACCATAAACGGGAAAATTTCCGCAGACCGCCGGAAAACCCAAGGAAAAAATAACACCACTCCTGTATATGATGCAGCTGCGTAATGCTCTTACGTCAACCGAATTTGCACGACGTTTTCCTCCCGAAACTATGCGAAAAACGCATTCCTCTGTGTCAGATGCGTATAGTATGGGATTTTCCGTGCATGTCCACGTGCATGCAGAGGATATGAGCGAAAAACCTGACTCACATTCCTTGACATTTACACATTTTTTTATTATTTTTTTATGGGATCCTACGTCAGCAGGAAGTTGCAATGCTTCGGTATGCGTGGTCATCCGCGTCATCTTGAATGCTTTGAAAAAAACCGTGAGCTGTTCGGTTAGTGTCAGTCAAAAAAAAAAATTGCTTTTGCTCGGAAAAGGACTGCAACAATGGCCTTCATCTACAATTGAGAATGCACTGCAGTATTTTGCATAAAGCAAATTTTATTTCAACGTCAACTTGACAATTTCTTCATCAAGTTGATTTCCAGGATATTAGCTACTGTACTTGCATTGTCTTTCTGACTTTTATAGTTATATAAGTTGAATTTGAGCAATAAAGGCTAAGTTCTGTGGCAGTACCATATTTACTTGAGTACCACGCGCACCTTGCACCTTTTTTTTCTCAAATTTCAGAAGAAAAGAAGGGATGTGCGTCATAATGGGGTACAAAAATTTCAAGAAGTTTTAGGAAGTTGTGTGTTAATTATAATTGATTATAATGGAGAAATTTGTGAAAAATTTGCCAAGAAAACTCTTGATTACTGAAAAATTTGAAAATTGATCAGATTCATGTTCAATTCACATCAGAAGTCAAATTTGTTGTTTTTATTTTCAAAATTTTGTGATTTTAGAGTACCTAAAAATGGGGTGTGCGTCTTACTCAGGGATACAATTTTAGCCAAATGTTGAACTGGAGAACCATGCGCGCCTTACTCAAGGGCATGGGGTACTGGAGTACCCCGGGGTACCGTATATTGGGCATTGAGGAAGGATTCCAAATGAACTCAATTGATTCCAGCACTACAGCCAGGCAGTTTGTAGCTCAATAAATACGGCATTCGTTGTCAAAAATATTTTTGTTCAAACCGATATGGGAAATAATTTAATTGGCTAACATTAAATCAAGGTAAAATTTTATAAGATGAACAGAAAAAAATTTAAATGTCCTTATACGGTGGAACTTGAGATTCTCTGAAGCGTACTAATATTTTAATCGACGTCTTTTTCTCGCCTGGTAATTTTTTAAAAGTCAAAGTTGTTTTTAAGGCGAAATAATGTTCAGCAAAAGATTTTTTGTTTAATAAATGTACTGCTTGGGGTGTTCGTTGCTCAATAGGGCGGTAAAATTACCCACTGAATAATATATTCTGTTGAAAAGATATTAAGGTTATTGCTTCAGAAACACCATAGGATGCTTTCCCATTATAACAGAATTGGTTGTCAATACATTTTTCAAGTCATCACAAACGATGTTTTTTGGCAATTTTTCCCCTTGTTCTCCTCATATATTCAGGTATAATTGTATGCAGAATTTCTTTCCAAAATTTCGCTATACATTTGAAGGGAACCATTCTCGAATAAAATTCACCGCTCAGTGCTCAGAACAGGGTTAAAATGTTGCAGATTACATGAAAAAGAATTTCCGACGGAGGATGTTTTGCTCGGTAATTTTTGTCTTTTTTTTAAGGCATAAATAATCGCTGTATTCTGCTGGGAAATTTGATTTTTGTTCAATAATGTGCTGCTTTCGCCATAACTCAGCTATGAAGAAACAAATCTTTTCCGATAGGGCTGCTGGAATTTTTTATGGGCTCATCAGAATAGCTGGATGATGTTCGTGCCGATGAAAAGATTTAATCTGTACTCATCCAGCCCATTTGTGCACCAAATTAATGAATAAGAAAATTAAGTTCAAGTCAAGCATTTACTACAAGTGAAATTGTTATTTTTTTTTTCAATGCGTCGTCATTGAGAAAAATTTTCGCATATCAAGCCTGACAAACGCCTGCATGGACACCACGATCAGAAGCATTTGAAAGTCAAATGGTTTCAATTTTTGTTCTTCTACACCTGTTAAAAGTTTTACGAATTTTATCAATTGGGAACGCGGCTCTTCCTCGCATTCATCACTCAAAATGTAGTCACTCGAAATGAAACTCATTGAAGAAATTTTCAGACTTGAACTTGAGGCTCTCGGAGACTCGACTGAGGTCTGGTACCAAGAACTTCCGAAAGCAAAGGACTAAAGGCGGCAAGTAGCGAAGAAACAACGTGGGAAACCTCGAAAAAAATATTAAATTGATGACCATAGAGTAGGAAAAAAATTAAAAAAAGAGGCCTGGACGAGTTTTCCTCGTCCCCACCGCGTCCCCAATTATCTTTCCACATCCCCTGGACCTGTTCTGTATATAAAGCTTGGTTCACACAAGAAATGCAGGGAAGCATCAGATGCCAGATGAAATTAGAAAATTTTGTTAAATTCTAAGAAAATAATGCAATTTTTCGGGTGCAAAATCAGGAAAAGCGCAGGAGGTTTGGTGGAGGAAAATGGCCTCAGGGGAGATTCAGAACTTTCTGCTCTGTTAGATGGAAAAGTCAGAAAAGGTGAGAAAAACGTTGCATAAATTTCAGTAAATAACATTGTACAGTGAGACCCCCATATGCAGACAATTCAACATAGGGACATTTATTTTTCAATTAAAAAAGGCCTGATATGCAGACACTGACTTGACATGTGGACATTGTATGATTAACTTGCCAATAAGTTTTAGGAAAAGTTACTTTTATTAGGCTGAATTGTAAGAAATAGATATTTCCAACCCTATAAGATCTATTTGCAAGAAAAGTTCTTTGGCATTTTTCCCATCATTTTCTTGTCCATTCAGCTAATTTTTAAAAGATTACCTTATAGGCGCAGAGTGACTTCCTTCTCTCTTTGTGACTCAAATCTTTTTTTCAGATGCCAACATTTCAATGTACTGTACAGAGGTTTAAAGTATTTATTGCTCAAAATGCTCTTATTGAGTTTAACTACATTCATTGAATCAATTTTAATTGGCAGACACATTTTTTTCATTAAGCAATTTTGATGAATATTTCTTCTATAAAACAACAATAAAAAATTATAGATTGTACATCTATGGGGAAACCAGACTGGACTTGGGGACATTTCAACTTAGGGACACTCTTGATGCACCAATTTCATGCGCATCTCAGGGTATCTGCGATTTATCTTCAGAATTGTCAATTATGCTCCATATTATTATCATGGGTTTTCTTCTCAAAATGATTCTTTCACTGGTCTTTGAAAAAGTCTTTCTGAATTTCGCTCCCTAAAAATTAACAATTGCGCACTGAGAATAACGTCTGTTTCATTATTCCGAATATCGAGAAATCAGGAAAACGACACATCATGAAAATTTCGAATCATGAAATCTGAATTTTAAATTTCACTCTTCTGAAATCTTAAAAGAGCGTACAAAGGTATTGCACAAATTGAGTATATTTTTGAGTCTATTGAAATTAAAAACCAGTGCATCTTTAATGATGAATACTGCTTATTAAAATTGTTGGCACTCGAACATCATCAGTGAAAAAAATTGCTGCAGTGAAATCATCAGCGGTCGCATCAAGCATATTCTCAAATTTTATCATGAGTTTTCAGAATCGAATGTAAGATTTTTTTTTGGAAGAAAAAAACTGTAACCCCCACCTTCAACTCGAAATTCCACAGACTGACGAGATTCCTGAGCATAATTCCCAGAGATTTGAATGCGAAATCATATTCCGAGTTCTCAGTCGTCGTCGTGAGAAAAGAGAAAAAGCTTGGAAAAAATAGCACAAAAATAATCTAAATATCTGAGACATTCTTTTGTGAGACTTGAACACTTTTCCCCAACATTTAGATCTCTTCGCAACTTATATTGCATAATTTTCGTTGATACGTTTTATTCATCGAATTGACTATGAAAGTAATGAAACTCATCGACGAGACTTCAACCCTGCTTTCCAAATCCAGATTTCTAAACAGCAAAATTGAAAAGTTTGATTTGTGTCCATTTTTTTTCCTAGCTGACGAAGAGCGAAGCCTGGTACATCATTCATGCGAACTTTTCACAATTAATTTGCACTGATTTTCACTCGCAATTCCCCCGGTCGTCATATATAGTAAATCAGGTTAAATAAGGAAGTGCATTAAAAATACGAAGTGAAACTGTTATTCATTTTCAGGCAAGTGTTTAAAAATATATGAAAAAAATATTGCTATTGTATCGGTGTGAACTCAGCTTAAAAATGCAGGTTGGGACAATAACCGAGATGGGTCGAGAGCAAAGACCCGGGATTTTCTCGGAATCCATTTTCTGATGGCAAGCAATCCAGCCCGACAAACCATAGTGTCAGGAACGGAAATGCGAATGGATGGGATGAATGAGAATGCATAGAAAAAAGACTGAAGGGAAAAAGGGGTGAACAATATAATGTAGACACCATAAGAAGCAGCGATGGGAAGGAAAATTATTGGGATTCATGTGGCACCATGGGCTTTTTCTTCCCTTCCTCCCCTCTTGTTTCATTAAAAAAAAATTATCTTGATCAAAGAAGAAAGAGAACGAAGAGAGGAAATGGTTTTTCGGAATGTTTTGCAAACATTTTTCTCCTTTCTTTTTTTTTCAAGTTCAGCGGTATTTTATTAAATGTGAGAGAGGTTTTATGTGAGAAAATTCGGCAGACAAAAATCAGACTGGGTTTAATATTGTACATGATCTAGACTTTGATGAACTGATTAAATGCAGGTATCATTTTGATGAACTCATCATCCACTTCAAAACATGAAAATAGGTGAAAAATTTAAAGGCAATTTTTGGGATACAATTCGCAGTTTAGGCTTTTTTTGATTCTCTGCTGCCTCTTGTGTCATAAAAATGTTTAAAACACTTTCTTCTGAAGTTCGAGTATAAACTAAGGTAATGG